TTGTATCTGTCTGAGGTCCCCCTCTTCCTCCTCCTCCTCAGACCCCACCCTCAGCAGGCTTCATCCCTAAAATATCCTGGAAGTTTCCAACCTGGAGTTGGCAACCCTATCTGCCTGTCTGTCTTAAGTTTTACAAACCCCCCCACACACACACAGCCTCTGCCTAGGGAGCAGCTGACATCATTCTCCTCTCCCAACTGAAAATTCCAACTGCCTTGCGGGGGGGTGTGAGTTTGAGGTGTGGAATGGAGTGTGGTCCAATCAGCTTCCATATGCAAACACTTTGAAGTAGCACCAAAGCTTTAAGATCTCTCCAGCTGTCACCTGGAGACTGGCAACAGCTTGTCTGGAGTGTGGGCATGTGGGCAGTATGGCATTGTATTTGTCTGAGGTCCCCCTCTTCCTCCTCCTCCTCAGACCCCACCCTCAGCAGGCTTCATCCCTAACTGAAAATTCCAACTGCCTTGCAGGGGGTGGGGGGTGAGTTTGAGGTGTGGAATGGAGTAAGGTCCAATCAGCTTCCATATGCAAATGATCTTGGAACGTTGGGCGGGACTGCACAAAGCAGCCAGTCAACCCAGCCAGTGTCCTCTGAGTGGCATTTCTTCCGGCCTAACACTAAGGTTGTGAAATTTAGAATGTTCAATATAGAATGTTCATACTGAATTATATATAAGGAGAGATGCTCCCTTTCTGAACTTCCTCCTTCTTCTAGGTATACGGTCTTCCCTGTGCATGTTCTGCAGCCATGATGGCAAAGCACTGTAGGGTTTACCATATACAAGAAATTTAAGAACCAGCATTGTAGGCGGTGTACACTTGTATCTAGAATCCAGGATGGCCTTTAATTGCATACAACATACCACAACTTCACCTACAGAACACAACACCAGGATGGGTTCCAACTGTCTATGTTTTCCCTTACTGGCACATTCTGTGCTTGCGATGCATCTCCCTCTCCCTGGATAACATCAGTTAATGCCCCAGAGCTAATTTCTATCACCATACCCTGGAGTTCTACCAAACACATAACTAAAAAGAGTGTTCACACCCCTCTGACCTCAGCTCCCCTACTAAATACCTATAGCAGATTGTTTGAAAGCAGCTCTGTTTGCAGTAAAATTAGGACAGTCCTTGAATGCTGGTAAAATAACTGGACCTCCTCTCAAAAGAACCTTCTCCAGTCAGCCCTGAATGTGGCTCCTCAGTGATACACAACAGCATCTTAGTGGCCATACCTCTGTCCCAAAGGCTCCCAGTCTACAAGAGTCTTAGCAGGGGTTAGAGTATAGTTCCAGGCTGGGGGATGCGGAACAAACCTTACATCTCAGATGGTTATAAGTTAGCAGAAAGGGATTAAATATCTCGGAAACCTGCATTTTAGATGGGGAATGTTAGAACTGTAACAATTTTTTTCACAAATTTCAGTTTATTTGCTGAAATTAAAAATTTTTACAGAGGTGAGCAAAAAGTTGACAAAATCAAGTGTTTTTCTGCAGTTTATTCAAGCGCTGGACAGTAATTATTGCTCAGAAAGAGTTATGAAAAACAATCTCAAAGGCCAAGTTCTTACTTTAACTTCCACCATCTTTCCTCCATGTTCAATATGTCTCTCAAGGTAGTCTGAAGATAGTAAATCACTGCAATGATAGAAAAGACAAAGTATGACTGTTAAGTTATATGACAATCAATCAGCAAATGATTTAGCAAACACTGTATTTGAAAAGCACATAAACCAACAGTACATATTTCCTCAGTACATGAGTACTAAATGCAACAGACTGGATCCAAAAGTATATTTCCCTCTCATGGAAGAAGTACTTCTGCAAATGGAACAGTACTTTCTACAAGCAGAGGAAAAACTTTGGATCAAGTCTCATGGTCTGTTTCCAACACACAAGATATAGTGTTTGTCTACTCTTTCAGCTAAAGTGAAAGTTTTAATTGAAAACCAGACTCACAATTCCTAAAAAAGAGGAAAAGAAAAGGATTGTTGGGTTTCAGGGAGAAATTGGGTAAAGACAATTCTTAATAACACCAGAGCAGACTGACAATTCAGCATCCACTGTCAAGGTGCCTCACTCTCAGATAAGTCTGAAGCTCCAGGGGCATGTTTAGCCCATCATGAGGGTCTCTGGGCCCCCTCCTTTAAAAAAAAAAATAGCAGATATTTTTTTAAAAACAGGCAAAAAGCCAACTGCTGAGACGGATGAATAGGGAACATGTCTCCAGATGTGGGCAGGGAGGTGCCAAGAAATCCATACCTTGTTTTCCGTATCGAGAGCAACCTTGTTTTTGCTGTAATGTTTCCGGAAACATCACATCAAAGCAGCTTTCAGAAACACTGCAACAAAGGATAATGAAAGGGGAATGGCAGGAGGAGGATGTCATGTTAATATTTTTTAAAACACCGCTTTTTGAGAGCAGTGATGGAGCTAATGGTCAGTGTGAAAGCAGCTTAGTGTTGATTTCAAGAAACCTAACAGCAGCTAGGAAAGGGGTTAATGTAGGTAAAGGAATATGGGTGGGCATGGGGTTTTGTAAAGGGGACAAGAGTTAGCCAATCACTGCCAATCTTAAAAGAAAAACAAAGAATATTTTATTAGATGCATAACTTTTTTTCTCAGAGATGGAGCAGCTTTTTCAAGGTATTGGAACTAATTGCCTAAAATAATGAGATGCTATCTAAAATGAGTAAATGACAGAAGAATGGTTCCAATTAACCGATAAATATCAACATCATGATAACAGAAAGCCAATTCCATCTTTCCCCACCTTTCTATGCTGAGGATCAGGGACCCTTTGTAAATGGAATGTAGCACACAAAGGGGTGTTGCAGAATTGATGAATAACCACATAAAATCACCTTCCTCTACTGATGTAAGTCATAAGCATGAGGGGGAGAAATAGGCAATCTTTGCCTATTGCACTTAATGGAATCCCAAATATTTGGACATTCTGAATTTTAAAATTCTGAACCTGAAGGGTCACAATTAGGGTTGCCATCCCAAGGTGGGAGAGTTTGGGGTTTGGGAACCAGCTATCTGGCCTCCCCAGTGTCGCAAAGTCACTTCTGGCACAAACTATAGAATTTGCCACAGAGTTTCAGGTGAATGACAAGAGTGTCACCCCGGCACACTGACATCACTCCTAGTTTGTTCTGATTCCTCTCCATTCCTCCCCTCCCACTGCCCCAGCAAGCAGAATCATTGGGCTGCCAGTAGTTCTCCTGCCAAAGTGGGAGATTTGGCATACCTAGTCACAATCCACATTCCACCTGAATTCTAATCCTGGGAATTATGTTTCACTTTCATTTCCCAGGCAACCCAGCCTTTCTACAGCAGCCAATGAGATTCCAAACATCCAAAATTACTACAAATATCTAAAATGATAAGATGTGGACTTGGAAATTTTCAGAATGTGGCCTTGTTTGGGGAATTCCAAATATTTCTGAATCCATATTGCACATCCCTACTGGCCTATCTTACAAGGCTGTTGTACAACGGTTCTTTCATCACTAAAAGAGTTATATAAATATACTAATATAAGGAGGAGGAGGTTATGGCTGAGTGTTTGCCCCTCCAGAATTCTCTACCTGGTGTAACCAGACCTCACTATGGCTACCTCCCTGATCAACCCACATTCTGGGTTTGATTATTGACACAATGGGCTTATGGAACTCTTGCTGCTATGGAGATGGGAAATCATGGCTCTTGCCCACGGACATTTTGACACAGCTACTCTGTTACAACATTGTTGAAACATCTGGCCAGCCACTGAGATAAGTGTCTTGGGGAAAGAAGCAGAGTACTGTGTGCATTAGTTCTAAACAGTATTTCATGGGAAAACACACATGAACTGGGATTTTTCCAATGAAGTAGTTAATAATTCCACCCAGAACATCACTGTTTCCAAGTTCTTGTTAAAAACCATATGGAGAGGGAAAGTAGTATTACAGTACTTTGAAAAGGTTATATACATATAAAATGTAAGAGTTAAATTGTATTTATAACCATACCATCTCAAGTCTGCTTTTATCTTTCTGCCAGTACTTATACTAAAAGATCTCAACAGTATTTAAAAATATAAAAACCCTGAGAAATATAGAAAATCCCAACTCAAACTCAGACAGACCTAAACTGAATTATCATTCCCTATCCCCACACAATTATGTTTCTGTAAGGTGCACTAGGAACCCTAATAAGAGAATGCTCAGAAATACGTACAAACAATAGTTATCAGGAGAGCTTTGTGTACCTAACATATCAGTGTACAGGGTCAATTCACACAGAGAGTCAGTGGGAGAATGCTGCCCCTGTTCCCTGCTTAAAACAGAGCAGACTGGCCCCATTTACACACATCCACCACAAATGGGTGCAACATATACAAGCTTTGTGAGTATAAGAACAGTCCCCATGTTCAAGAACATCTGAAAAGCAGCGCTCCAGTTATGGGCATGAAGCCTCTGTGCTTATAGATTGTATTGGCGCTATGCCAATGTCTGGCAATCAATGTAGGTGGTGCAGGGGCAGCAACCATGAGCAGTGGAAGGGCCAAAGTGTTTCTGCAACATGCCTTGGCCCTGAACATTGATGTATCATGTACAGAGTTCCTTTGGCGAAATCATATACGGGACCCAAGGTACATTTTCTCAAGGAACATGGGGCTATGGAGGACTCAATCTATCCTGTTATTTATATGATTTCAGGGGGGAGAGTTAGGGGTTTGTTTGTTTGTTTTTCATGACTCATTACACTGAATTATGGGATGGGGCCCTAGGGGAGGAGCTGTACTGCATATTTATGAACACATAACTCTGCTTTATACTGCTGCAAACCACTGGTCTATCAACATCAGCACTGCCTCCTCTAACTTACAGCCAAGGGGGAAAAATTGTACTTGAAGCCTGATCATAAACATCCTCACAATAGCCTCCCAAGGGACAATGAGAAGATACGCAAAAGAAATATGACTAATCATTTGCTTCAACTGATAATCAACAGAACACTAATTGCCTAATCATAGAATTACGTATGAAGAAGCTGAGACAATCCTAATTATTCAATCGCACACTCCAGAACATGACCACGAGATCTAGAGCATACCGTTATCCACCATCATTAACGTTTTAGCGACACATCCCAATGAATGTACTATTGTCCAATTGATGAAGAACTAAGAGATGTCACATCTTTTTATCATACATGTGCCACATTCTCCATTAAAAATGCTCAGGTCTGATTACAAATAATTTAACCAGTAATAACCACAACCAGAACAAGTACCAATATAACTAAGAGAGACCAATTCTCAAAACACACACACAGAACAAGAACCGATAATTAACCATTTATCCATGAATGCTGTGGCACATTAAGTAATGAGGCTTTAAACAAAGGAATTGCAAAGAGAAGTGGCGTCTTCATTAGAATCTGATTAAATACATATAGGATCTTGCCTGCAGGGATACAGATTGCTAGATTTTTATGGGAAATGGAATGCTTAAGAGCTGCATAGAACCATGTTGCTGTTCTACTTGCAACACAAAGTTGTCTTCACAGGCCAAGGACCAAATCTTAAACAAGGCTGCCCTTCCTTCTCCTGGCAAGAACTCGTTGGCTCATTCATACAAGTCCTTACAAATTTTAAACTGTTTTCTACCACTCATATTCTCCACTAAATTTTAATCAGAAAGCGCTCATACAATAGTTATTTGCCAGTGTATAGATAGATTCCCAAGCAGCTTAAGGGACACGAAAGATCTGCTTGCATAGCAACTACCATTTTGCCTCCTTACTATTCAAATGTTTTCAGAAATAACAGGAACTGCAGCCATTTCACTGCTTTCTATTTTCCCAGATGACAAGGGGTTTAAAATAAAGGTGCCTGTGAAATTCGCCCCTGCCAAACTTCTTCAAGTGCATTCCTGGTTTTTCAAGTATCACGTTGTTACTGGAGCAGTATTAATAATGTAGTTCTTCTAAATTCATAATTCCAAAATTTTGCTGTAAGTAATGGTGAATGGGCCAAATCAGAACTGAAGGAACTCAGAAAGGCTGGTCAACGGAACCCCATCTTGGACCGATAAGAACCAATATCAAGAGCACCGGCACTTTGTTGTGATGGATTGTTTTATTATGTTTTTAGCTGTTCAATTCTGGCATGTGCCTCATTTGTTAGCCGCCCTGAGCCCGTTTGGGGAGGGCGGGATATAAATTAAATTAATAAAATAAATAAATAAATTAGATATGGTAGATGATGAAAATGATCATAGACATTTATGTTTATGCTATGTAAGACTGTTGTCTGTGTTATATGTATAATTGTAGTAGTATATTGTATATTTTTCTGTGTTTGTAAAATTTTAAAATTCATTAAAAATGAAGGAACTCACTATATCAAGCCAAGTCCTGGGCTTGTGCAAAACGGTCACAAACAAAATTTTAAATGTTTTTCTTTTGAACAAACTGTTTTTAAAAACTGTTTTACTGCTTTTAAATTTTATATATTTTATCCTGCACTGAAACAGTGATAAACTAGAAGATTGTTTTTCTTTTTACTATTTTTTTTGTAAAAAAAATGCTTTTTAAATTAAAGATTAAAGAAATTTTAAGTGAAGAAAGTCTGAAACAAAAATGCA